CGATTTTTCGAAGACAATGGCGGCAATGCRAATGTCAGTTTGAATTGTTGTCGTTAGAGAAATATCGTATCCTAAGTCTTTCTGTAGCGGATTTCAGACCCTACCAAGGTGGCCAGTTTTAACACCCAAACAAGGCAATCGGTACAATATTTTACTGGTAGGGACGAGTGGCTTGGCACTTATAAGATATCTATAAAATCAGGGTCGCTCTGAAAACAATTTAACAAAGCAAAAGTGCAACTGTTCAAGAGACAGAGGATGGAGATTCTCCACAAAACCCATTTTCTGCTTGAGAAGGCCATTTTCGCACTGCGATTTAAGTTATAAATAGGAGTTCCCCACTGCTGTCCAGGCCAGTAAAAAATGYATGTTTAGCGTATACACATTAGCACAGCTGTCTTTTTCAATGGAAAAGGTGTATTGGTGACTGCATTTCCTATTCTATAATTGAGTCTGCTAGTTGTTTTTCTCTTTTGAGCAGTGTTTGAATTCAAATCTCACGATTTACGAAACTTGCAATTTTTCAAAGCATGGGTCGAATTCGAACCATAATGCTAAAGTGCTGGCATCAGAGGGTTAAATATTCAACTTTGAGATGAAGAAAAAATGGCACGGACAGACAGCGGCAAACAGTTGTCTCGTTTTAGATGGCTCTAAAATGTAGCTAAAACGCTCAAAAGAGCTGAAAATTATGCACAAAAGAACTGATTATTATCCAATGGACAATGAAAGGAGGTATATAATTCAAGATAACTGGCTGATTTATAATGGTAATTGAACTGAGTGGAGTGCAATTTGGTCTGAAATCAAAYGCGCGATTACAAAATCGCACGACCGCGAAGCGGGAGTGCGATTTGTAATTGCAAGTTTGATTTCAGACCAAAATTGCACGACACGAAGTTCAATTACCACTTAATTATATCCATTTTGAAATCCTAACAAAAAGAGACAGTCGTCGCTTTTTMAAACCGGAACCGGAAAGTCTTTTACATCTCATTTGCAATTCATAAACTGACAGGTCATGTCACTTCACTTCGAGGAAAACTACRAACTTAACAAATTTCAAACGAGCAGTTTTATTTCATTTTGAGTCCTCATAAGATTAAATTATGGAGGTCGTCTGTTTCGCCTGTCGCAAAGAAGATTAAAGAGTTGTTGCAGGGTCTTTGAGATGGATATTTTAACATGTTTATCGACAAATTTGCGTAAAGCTGCCATCGGCGAAGACGATCGATGCCATGTGATTTTAAGAATTTTCTCGCCTTCACAATCCTTACGTTGTTGCCTTTCTCCTTCAAAGAGCGGTCAAAGGAACTTTGTATCTGTCTTACTGTTTCTGGTTGGTAGTTGTCGACTTTTTGAAGTCTTRCTCTAGCATAGAACTGGCATAAAATGTTGTTCAAAAGTTTTACTTGCTTGACAATCAAGATGGCGGCTCATGAACGAGGACATTCATCCACATTTTCCAAAGTATTGTTGCTTTCTTTGTTCTTATTAGTGACCTGAAGCCTAAGGATGTCTGCATAATTTATAAGACCTGGAAATCTTCATTCATAGACGGGCTTCAATTGTTTGTGTTGCAGTTRCAAACTGAGCTGCATGAACTTGCATCCCTTGTTGAACATTTCTGACATTTTTGGACTGTAAATTACACTTTCGTCAGGATTTAGAAGTAGCAAATGATGAAAAATTACACTGAGATAGTACATTGTCATCTAAAACTGTAAGTAAGAACTAAAATAATCCAATTTGCACATATATTTTCATAAAAATATTTGCTGTAAAACCTAAAAATGTACTCTTTGTGTGTCCTTTTTGCTGTAGTTTGATTGGTTAACCACACACAATCCTGTAATGTGATTGGTTGCCTTTTACTTGTTTTGCATTGTGATTGGCTCCTCAAAGGAGTGCGATTAAGAATTAAAAATGGTGCGATTTAGGCTGAAATCAAACTGCTAAGAACCAAATCAGATTGCAAGATTCACTTGTGATTTCAAAATGGATATAATTAATGCAGAAATTTTGCWTTTTCTACCGCAAACACGAGCACAACGAGTGTTTGATGTCAAACAATCACAAAGTCTTCAAAAATAAGAAATCACATGGATATATAAGGTTCAATGGTGGGACTAGCGGTAAACTAGTGTGAGCTGTGTCTGTGTTTCTAAAGAAACAGTTGTATAAAAAAGATAAATTTAACACCGTAAAAAGAAAGTTATTTCACATACTTTTTTTACGAGTAAGTTATTTCCCATACTTTTTTTACGAGTAAATTATTTCACATACTTTTTTACGGTATTAAATTTATCTTTTTTATACAACTATATGAGGTTCATAAATTTACAGAAGAACAATTATTCAGTGGACTAAAACATATTAAATCTCATCTGAAAAATATGGATGCTTTTTTTAACCAATGTGTTCGAAGTTGAAATCGCCAGTACTATGTATAGATATAGTCACATTCCTTGTTCAATTTACAGAAAGCGTTGTGCAWCATTTGTAATGCATCCTTGCTAAATATGAGTGTCCTAGTGCCATTTATACCGGAGATACAGGCAATTCTATGGTCGGGTGACCACATACAAAAGCTTGTAAATTTGGTCTTGTTCCTTTTGTTATGAACAAGACCAAATTTAGCGATAAGCAAAAAAAAAACAGTATTTTCTATAGATACAATAATCATAGATCAAGATAATTTATGTTTCACTATATTTATATATATAATATTACAGCCTTTTGCAAAAATTATGAGAATTGTCKAAATATCTAAATATCATAATATCCATATCCATATATTGTCCGGAACACGCGGGTTTGCTAGAATAATTCATTGTTGACATCGAGAAAATGTTCAGAACTACGGATAAGTCTGTCGCCAAAAAAAAACTAAACTAAAAAGACAAGGGACTAAAGGTATCGCGCGGGATTACCCATCATGCACTCGATATTATGATATTTAGATATTTCAACAATTCTCATAATTTTTGCAAAAGGCTGTATAAGGAATGATAATAATAATATATTGATATAAAATATATATCTAGGAATTGACTAGCCACACTTTCATTTTCGGTTGCGATACTATTCTTTATATTGTTGTCAATAATATTCCAAGTGTTAACACCATAGCGTGTGCATTTCATTATTTAACCTATCATCAATGTGAGAATTCCAAGGGGTAGGGGGGCTGAACGATTTTCGAAATCCAAAGGAGGGGAGGACTTATAAACGAATTATAGAAAACGACCTTAACCGGGACTTACATTGATCAAATGTAAGAGTCAAAAAAATCACTATAAAACATTTGAAAATCACAACACAAACATCTAAAACTGTATTTGAATGCAAACTACATATATTGAAAGCAACACAGCTTATTTTCGAGTCATTTTAACAAAGTTCAAAGCATCTGTGGTTCAGTGATCGGAGGGCGATTGTAAACAACATGTGGTGAGCAGTTTCTTGACAGAAATTAATGGTGTCTTGGTTGTCTTGGTCACAGATAACACCACCCCTTCGGAATTTCCGATAAAAAGGCAGGTATTACCCCMACCCCCACTGGAATTTCCGTCAATAGAAGATACGCGTTTATTAGCTTTATTACGCCTGACAATTTAAAATCAAAATGTTTTTTATCATGTTTGCTACTTATTTCTCATGAAAAAGTGAAAAAAGAACCCATAGTTAAGGATTGCACCCTCCTCTCTCAAGGGCTATGGGTCCCTATAACTTAAGACAAGGGCTAGGACTCCTCGATTGAGGGTTAGGATCAGAATATATTAAATGAGGGTTAGGTTTAGCTAAGGGTTATGCTCTAAACTCAGGTAGGGTCTCCAAAAAAATTATTTTTAATTAATATACTAATCCATAATAACTTAAATGCTGAAATGGAGAATAACAATGAGTTTACAAAAAAGTAGCAATCAGCAGAAACACTTAAAGACTAGCATTTCAAAACAACAAACAAAATGTACAAACTGAAAATAACAAAATCCGAGGTGAATTACCTGACCCAGTGTATGTAAAACACTCTCCATAGTCAATATCATCTTCATATCCCCCTGACAGTGCAACAGAAAAGCACCCATCTCTTCCATTCCCATGAATACCAGCTACAGTCATTCTAAAAATATACCAGACTATTAAATTTCTATTACAATGAGCAAGAAATAAATCTACCTTTCCCTTAACTTAACATAGGACTAGCTCAACATTAAAACGTCTCGAGGTCAACTATTGGCCTTAAACAAAAGTTTGCTACAGCAAAGAAGGACTAATCTGAGTACTTTCTATTATAATTGTGCAAATCGCTATAAATGATGTATATTATGTAACGCTGTGTCTATATGGCCGGTTACCAGTCAAGGTCTTGAAAATGCTAAATGGCCGGCAGCCCATAAAATGTGTTTTTCCGTCTCTTATTATCTAAACAAGCTTCCAAACTCCAAAATAAAACTCTAAGAGTAAAATGAGCGTGTTAAAACTTACATAAACGTCGCGCCAAAATTCGTTGCACTTAGAGACATTGTGCGAACTTGAACCAACTGCCGGCCACGCAACAACGAAATCCTAAATGGTTGGCAGCCCATAAMATAACAGATTTCTCTTTTAATATTCTTATTTAAGGAGTTAAAACAACATAATCAACATTTCTGAAACTTTTCTTCTATTCGAGAAAAGTCTCAACCAACACGGCAGGCTGCCAGTCACGCAACATCGAAATCTTAAATGGCYGGCAGCTCATAAATAACAGATTTTTCTTTCCATGCATCTTTTATTATTCAAATTTAAGAGTTAAAGGATTATTGCCAGTTCCAACTGTAAGTACATTACTCTATCTGAGAAAAATCTGCATTCTTTACTAGGATTACAGTTCATGTTCATATGGTTTTATTATGGAGTTTGGAAGCTCGTTTTAGATAATAAGAGAGGGAAAAAACACATTTTATTGGCTGCCGGCCATTAGCATTTTCAAGACCTTGACCGGTAACCGGCCATATAGACACAGCGATTATGTAATGGTATTAAAGGTGACAATATTGTGCAATTATTTGTCAATACTCCAGGTATGAATTCATTCTGCTTTATTTGATAACAGATTCTCTTGCACAATAAACACAAAAGAGGGCATGATAAAATGTCATTTATTACTTTAACATTAGCCTTGAAAATCTGTATTTTCTTCGATTTGAGACTAACCCTGTATTCTGCCCATAACACCAAAGGTATGAGCCTTCTGGGAATACAGGGTTAGCTTCAACTTGGGGATTGTTAGCGCTATTGTACTTAACATTTTCTCGTTCTTTCTTTTGTGTTTGGTTAAGTTCTTTGCATAAGAGAATCTACTGTCAAATAAAACAGCTGTTATTCACTTTGAATTTGAAAATAGAGTATCTATAGACTCTTTTGCTTGATCATGAACAGCCTCCCAGATCTTTCTTTGTCTATATTTTGACAATTGACTCAGCCTTTGTACACAAAACTAAAATAAATCTTGTGTGTAAGAGATGTAGTTATATCCAAATGATAAAAAACAACACATTTTTAGGCATCAATAAAGCTATCAGTGTATATTTTTGTGTTTGTCTCTGTAAATAGAGTGAATAATAGAGATGGGTGAATAGGAAATTGTTTAACCCCCTCCAATCAAAAACAGCTCCGCCGTCCTTGAACTTCTGGTTTAATGTTACTTTAATGTTGATGAATCCTTAAATGCATTTTGAAACATCATATTTAGTGGAATTCCCACTGGTACATGAATATACTTTATAACTGAAATCTGATACATAATACAGTGCACTTAACAAAATTCATACCGGTGTATACCATCAGCACCACAATCAGACCTTGAAATCCATGTTGCACCAATCTCAATTCCTATGATTAGAATTCAAAGTTTAATTGATATATTTTTTGGGGTGACGGGAATCTCTTGTGCAAAGACCTTACCAAACAAATAAATAAAGCATTAAAAAATGTTGTAATTACAACAGCCTCAAAAATTAGCACTTTTTTTCCAAATCGAGACTATCCCAGTTAAATCAGGCTTAATGGTTTTGGTGACAAGTACAAATATTTGTATATCTATGTAATACCAAGTCCAAAATGAAATTTACCTGGAATATGGCCAAAGACATTTTCTTTTATCTCTTTAACTTTCTTTGTTCTTTCTTTTATACTCTCTAATTCATCATCTACCCCTTGAAAGTATTGTGGCTCCTAATATTAATAGTCAGTGATCAATAAATAAAATTCAATAGAATTTTATTTTTCAATGTGTGCAAACTAATTCATGTATTTAGTAATAGCAAAGAACTGAATCATGTCAATTTTACATGTTTATAAAAAAGATCTACTTGTTCTGTTCAAGGGCGCTAGAACTGAAATTATGACATATAAGATCGACAAATTGCTGAATTTATCCAACTTAGACAGTTGATAATGAATAAACTTTTACTTATCTGAATTAYATACTGAATATGTCGTCATAGACACTAAAAAGCACTTGATTTTACGAAATTCATCCAATTGATCATTACTGAAACTCTCAAACGGCTGTTACTGAATTTAATACCGCTGTGCTTGTTGTATCAGCCACTGCTGTCTCACCACGGGATTAAAATCACTTTGCCCTGGCTGAACACCAAAAGAGACAGGGGCAGGCAATAACTGGCGGTCCCCTTGACCACTCATCTTCCACACTAATTGGATTAAGTTGACAAGACCTAGGGACACTGATGACAGATTAGTCCTGGCCGAGCGAGTCTTCGTTGGTCGAAAAACGCTATCGTTGCGATGTTTTAWAACTTGTTTTTGAATCGAAAGTTATCAAATAGTTGAGCGAAGCGCTCAATGATTTTGTTGCATTATGAAACTAAAATGTGAGTGTAGTGAATTCGTGTTTAAAAACATTGAATTGAGAATTAAAATAGAAACAGTACATTTTAAAGCTTGTTAAGCAGCATTATATATTCAAAGTGTCAGTCGCATAAACTTGTTTGTGAATGTGCTTTACGGCTAACATTTAGCTTTCATTTTGGTCTCTTCTACAATGGACTTGAACTTAGATTTCAGCCAGACCCTTTGTTAATTTGTTAATTTTTAATTTTTAAAAATAGCGATAGTTTTTTGACCAGGGCATGGACCTGCTATCAAGACGAGAGCGTTTTAGTTCAAATCCCGACCTGTGACAAGGTCAGATTCGGCCTACAAAGACTCGCTCGGCCAGGACTAATCTGTGGCTGGTACAACAAGGACAGCAGTATTAAATTCAGTAACAACTGTTTGAGAGTTTGAGTTACGATCATTTGGATGAAGTGTAAGACTTGTTAGTGTCTAAGACGACATATTCAGTATATATTTCAGATGAGTAAAAGTTTATTCATTATCGAATATCTAAGTTGGATAAATTCTGMAATTTTTCCATCTWATAGGTCATAATTTAAGTTCTAGCTCCCTTGTTCTGTTATTGTAAATACATAACTAGACTTCGAAACACCCTGCTCTCTTTTACCAAATGCTCCACCAGCACCATCACAACATTACATTCCTGTCCAACAAGACACCACACCCAAACTCATGGACACGAGTACATGGACTGCAGAGCAAGGTCCCCCCCCCAAAATAATTTTTACCGACATTTTAAATTTCTTAAATAAAGAAGCGAAGAACCTCCTAATTGTGTTAAAACTGAGCGTGAACAGTTAAAATTGAAGCTTTTAATTTTTGCGAAGTATTTGGAATTTTATTGATAATATCGCTGGCCGTGTGCGCGGTTAAAGTGTCTTGGATAACGCCTCAAAACGCTGGAAATGACATTTCCGAGAGTTAAGATTTCAAAAATTTATGAACCTCCCTAGTACCTCGTCCCCGCTGCCCCGCGCTCCCTGGAGTAAGCCCTCCATAAGTACAGTGTCTAGTATCTAGTTTGACCACACTACCTTTCCCGCTAGTCTTGCCGAGCTTCTTGTCCTTGGCCTTCCATTGTYGTCGTTTTTCAGCTCTGGAATTGACAAAAGTGGCTTCTTTCGTTCTTTGCACACTTTCTCTTTACGTTTTCTTTTTAGCGGCGGATTCTTATGGAAACTTGGCATGAACGGCTAGAAGGATAACTTAAGCTTAGTTACGTGAATGACCACAAAAAATAAAATTTCCTTACCTTGTCAAAACCCAATTCCGCCAAAATTCTCTTGTTTTCTGCAATGTTCTCAAGGCGAATCTTTTCATATTCGCTTAAATTATTCATGGTGATGTTGTTTTGTAGAAATAATCTAACTTTATACTCTTCTTTCAACACAACTGCACACACTGTACCTCTTCGCACATCAATCTCTGCACGTGTTGTGAAATGTCAATTCGTGACACACATGGATTGCGTTATTTCTCGATTCATGATTGGTTTGAAATGAATGCCAGCGGTATATTGTTCTTTACGCAGCGCTAGACTAGCCTGGCTAGCATAGCTGGGCACAGGGAGCGCAAGCAATGACTTTGAACCTATAATAGTTTGAAAAAATAAAATTTTACTTAAAACAATAGTCTACTTTTATCTTATTCACTGTCACAATGCATTATAAAATTCCCCCTCCCTCCCCTCCCCTCCCTATATATATATATATAGGGAACAGGTTCAAAGTCATTGTTTGGGCTCCGTGTTCTCTGACTGTTATGCGCTCTCAGCAAAATGTGGGTTACCTGTGGTATTACGTCAATGATCCCTTGCCTCGCGGGATCTCGCGGGATCAAAAACTGGTACTGTATGTAATGAACTTTTATTAGGGTGCGTCGTTTGGTATTGTATTTGGCGCGTTATCTACATTGTTTAAGGAATAAAAAACAGTTTTCCGTGTATTATACTCTGTTATAAAATGTTTGATATATAACGCGCGCTCTGATTGGCTGACGACCGTGTTTATATCAGAGGACAGAGACACGGCTTACCGGCAAAATTTTCTTTTCACTCGAAAAAGTTTATAAAAGAAATATAGGCCGCTTTGTGTCTCTATCCTCTGATATAAACACGGTGAGAGTTGAAAAACACTCGAGAAGCAAGAGAACTCGAGAAGCAAGAGAAACACTCGCTACGCTCGTGTTGCTACGCTTGCTTCTCTCGTGTTTTTCGAACTCCCACCGTGTTTATATCAGAGGACAGAGACACGCGTGCCGTTTTATATTTCTTAAATAAAAACACGCGGGATGTGGGGAGAACACGAGAGAAGCGTAGGAAACCACGACGCGAAGCGGAGTGGTTTCAAGCTTCTCGAGTATAATACTCTCAGAGTATAATACGGCGGAAAACTGTTTTTATTGCTTTTATAAAATAACAAGCGCTCAAATATTCATGAGAAAAAAAAAGCCGAGAAAAATCAAGCCGACAATGGAAACATAACTCGGAGATTGTGAGAGCTGCTTTTGCAAGATGGTCAGATGTATTTACAAACTAGACGCTCTTGGAGCGTGAAGTCAGGCTAGCTATTTTGGAAAATTGAGAAATTACTTGGATTTTCGAATACGTGAAGAGCGAAAGAGTTCAACACGATAAGATAAAATTCGTATCTAAAAACCATGTAATATTCTGACAGTCATATAATTATATATGAAAGTAAATTATGGCGTAGAATACCTTATCAAGTTTGTTTATTCACGCACCGCGATATTCTTTTCTGGTGGCTTGCCGCAACGACATCAAAACACTAGGAATATCGATCCAGGAGTGATATTCTGTCTTTCTCAATTTTCAAAAATAGCTATCCCGACTTCACGCTGTAAAAGCGTGTAGCTCATTCAAAATATGCAAATTTCGTGTGTTTTAAAAAGGTCATATAAATAAATAAATAAATAAATAAATTGGTGATAGCTAATCGC